ATCTTTAAGGGCGCCAAGGGTATCATAATAACAAGGTAACAAAAAGTTACCTTGAGGAGCTAAACACCAGCTCTGTGACTCAATGGACAAGTTGGAGTTCAATCGGGCAGAAGCTAAGGCGCTGTGTAATGGCATCATTGTCTCCACTCCGCTTAACTCTACGGGTAACCTACCCATTCATTCAAATCACGAGTACAACAATTAAATCAAGCCAACACATTATCATATTTTTGTAATTCTAAATGCAGAAGAACTACATGAATATCGACACATTCATCATCATATAGGTATGCATATTTACCTGGAGATTAGGGAAAATCGTTTTATGGTTGATTTAGGCGCAGCATTGAAGAAGGATGTCTCTGGCGACGGAGAGACTGACTTGTTGATCTTGAGAGCGGCAGGTCGCAGCCGAGAAGATAACCTGGATAGCATTCTTGAAGCCGCCATGGAAGAAGTATGGAGGTCCGTGAAGGAGGGAGGGGATAGATAAAATACTGTAGAAAAAGAGAGAAGTCCTTTCGGTTGGAATAAACATAAAATAATTCGGGGTATAAGAGCACGCGCAGGCAAGGTTTTACATTTTATGTATTTAATTATTAAAATTTATTTTATTTAATTTTTTCATAAAAATATATCTACTTTGTTTATACTCTCTTCGTTCTGAAAAATGTCGTAGTTACTATTTTAGATTTTTGATAACATTTTTTGTGCTTCCCTTTTTCATGGTATATTTAATAAAATAAATTATTCTTATCATTGCTTGTTTTATAAATTTGTTGATATAATTTTTAAATATGATGTACGGAGTAATTTATAATTTTTATTTTCTTACTAATTTGTATATATAAAATTAATTTAAGAAAGATAATACCACATACCACATTATATCAATAGAGAACAAATATTTTGGAATTAAGACTCCGTTCCGTTCAACTTATTTTTTCTTATTCTTGTAAATGTCCGGAGGGTGGGATGGAGGAGGTGAATTTCTCGTAGAAAATAATTTTCTAGAATATTGTTTTTCTCCAAATCAATTAGTCTTAATGTTTTTGGTTATGTCAAAGATAAGCGACATAAATTCATATATAAGATAATTAATTTTCCAAAGACTTATATTTCATGTCAACACTTACATTGTTAAGAAAGTAGAGTTATCTTAGACTATCCACAATGGGAATTGAGATTTAAAAAGTGTATACCAATTTTATGTGCCACATCACCAATAATATAACCTCTCAATCCTAAACACCATCTTTATCCCACAATGGTGAAAACAAAACAAAAAATAAAAACACAAATGTGAAACAAAATACAAAATCTCAAGGACTCGAGATACCACATCTTTGTCCAATTATTATTTATTCTATTATGACGGAGGGAATGATATTTTATTTTCTCTCTCCTAATTCTATTAGGAAGATCTGGAATTGCACATCTTCACAAAAAAGCAGACAACTGATCACCCCCACCATATTTGCGAAGTAGGCGTGAATTGCCTCCCTAAACACAAATGTGAAATGGGTACTGGGCAACTTTTTTAATCAAATTATACCATGATATAGTGTTAGAAAAAAAATGGATAAAAAATCCTATGAAGTAAGTTAGCTCATCCCAAATAATTACTGCTGCACCAAAAAAGAAATCAGAATCAACAATTACCTAATATTACATGACGAATGGTCGATCCGTTTCGGCCAAATCACATGCTAAATCTCTATACAGTGGAGTTTAACTTTCATTATTTTGGTTTTTGAACCCCATTCTCAGCTGATTGGGGAAGAACAGGGAGGGGAGAACTCACACTCCCAACCATAGAACTTACCGGCGGTGGTTGAGATGTTTTCTGTGGAGACGGAGCCACACCATTGAAATAAACTTCCTTTTGAGAGTCATTGATTATGGTGTGTCGTTGGTGAGCCGAGTCCGAAGCACGTGCCATTGAGGAACATTTTGTTTCTGTTGACAAAATAAAAGGGCAGTTATGTCCAAGTTGCTGTAAAATGTACATTAGAAGTCAACGATGCCTTTGTAGCCTACTAATTGACTTGAACTGCTTGAAAATGTAAGCATGAAGTATAGTGTTAGGAAGACTTCATATTTATCTTCATATTCCTTAATCGCTCTAGCAGAGCAGATACTTTTGAGATAAAAAGGTGACTTCTGAGATAAAAATGTGACCAGACAGATTCAGACCAGATCAAACCATAAAAGAGCAAAATGAGGAGACCAGATATTCAAACCTGGATAACACATTTTCAGGTGAAGAAAAAACAGGTTTTTACAAGAAACATGATTAGGATTTTAGGAAATAGAAGCTTGCCTTTTATATCTCCCAGCGTAATTAGTCTCTTGAGACAATCACGGAACTTTGTCAAAACGATTTTCTCCTGCTCTGCATAGGCTTCTGGCATGGCTTTACCATGAGACAATTGGGAAGATGTTTTGCAGCAAAGGCTTGTTGATTCGTTAGGAGAACTTGCAGAAAATAGAGTATTCTGCTCGTCACACATTAATGCTAAAGTTCCTGGAGACATTGGCCTTTCTGTTGACTCATCAACAGTATCCAAACAGGGCTTGTCTGTACCTCTTTTGCCATCCAGACTCCCACTGGAACAATTGCTAGGCAACCCCACCACACTTGTATGATTCTCTAATTTTTCTTGACACAGTGAATCAACAGATCTTTCTCTTTGGTTTTGATTTGCATTTTTATCCTCTGCAAGCAGTAGAATAATTTGTAACTGAATGCATCAAGGCAACACCATTTAACTAAAGAGTGGAAGAAACATTTTTCAATGTAGATTTGCATGAGCATAACAAAAATGCTAAGCAGCAGATATTTGAAAAGTATTCTAGATGGCGACCACATAATCACAACCTTTTGGAAAATCAGGCAATTTCCCTACTAAGACAAAATACACAGTGAAATGAACAAGTTCATAACAAATGAACTAGACACAACACTAACAAATATATCCAAGTAACCCACCAAATAATATTGAATTTTATACTACAATTGAAAAGAAAAGAGCATACCAATAAATAAAATGGAGTAATACAAGAGATAAAATAGAAACACACCCCAAAACTCTGAGCCATCTAGAGTACTTTTAAAATATCTACACCCAAAAACACATAATATCTACAAAGTTGAGCAAGAAAGTTTAATTTCTGAGCACCGCTCATGCAGCCCGCTCTTATTAATGTGGGAGAAAAATAGTACAAGTTTTGGGATGAAAAACAATGAAGAGATGTTAGTTTATAACTCCCGAACCCCTCCCTAAAACAGCAATGCACAGTGTGGGATAACAAAAAAAGCATACTGCAAAATTCCCGCTGGTGTGGGATGTAAACTTAACCCAAAAAGACGACAAATCTCCACCTTGGCATAATTTATCATCCCACCAAATACAAATCTTTTCAATCAAACAAAATAAATACAGTCTAGGCGGTGCTTCAAATTTGCACCATGAGATGTCAACTCAAACACGCCAGATACTAACCAAGTCTAGACAGTGCTCAAACTTGACCCTTGTAGCTACCTAGGTGTTCTCTCTAGTATGCATATTCTAGAGAACTATGAACTATCTCTTCTTTTTCAAGAACTTCTTGCAAAAATTTATAGTGACCATCAACATGCTTTGTAGTGCATGAAAGACTTGATTCATTACTAAATGAAAAGCACTCTAAAAAAATTCAAGTTATTTCTAAATAACTTCCAGGTCTTTAAGCAATCCATGAGACTAAATTGTCTCCGTCATAGCCTCTGTAAGTCATAATACTTTGCTTCCTTTGTTGCAGACAAAGCGGTGTTGACTACAACCAAATCAACCAAAAGCTCAAGCTTGTAGTTGTAGGCCCAGAAAAGGTTTTATACACTGACACGCTCCCTCAAGTGTAGGTGAGCTTTGTTTTTTACTCGAACCTTACACGTAGAAACTAATTTTTTAAAACTAGGTGATAGTGAGATTCAAACTTGTGACCTCTTGGTCAACAAGGCTTTGATCTCATGTCAAGGAACCTATTCCCTCCGTCCAAAAATTATCTTCCCATTCACTATTCATAAAGTCAAACTTTATTCACTTTGTTGGTCTATTTTCGTTGTCCATCTTGTCACCTCTAATTTTATATATATCTTTTGATGTAGTTTTTAAATATGTATTTTTTATTTTTTAATTCCACACCATTTTTCATATAAAATGATTTGAAAATAACTTCAGTCAAACATCTTAACACACAACGGGAAGATTATTTTTTGACGGAGGGAGAATTAAACTAAAAGCTCAAGCTTGAGGTTGTAGGCCCGCAAAAGTTTTTGTAGTCTAACAAAAAACTATAAAAAATTAGGAAAAAGGCAATAATAATGATAATAAATATAATAATAATAATAACACTAACAATATTAATGATAATAATAATAAGCAACCAAATCAAAATAATTATGCAAAATGACTTTTTATTCCCGTTAGCATGGATGCGCTATATTTGGCGATATTGGGTACTTGCAAAGGAATATGTCACATAATTATGTTCATTGTGCTTTGTACTAAGTCCTAAAAAGGTCATATAAGGTTGTTCTTCAATTAAGCCATAGAACTACTTCCAAAATGAGAGTTTCAATATTCAGACTAAGCACAAATATATGAGTCTAGCGGAGCTGAGTTGATTGGACCAAGAACTGGAATGAGTGAAGTGCTTTAAAGGAAAGAGTTGGAAGAGGAAGAAAAAAAATAAAGGTTAAGTGAATAATGGTTTCAAATATCCATTTAACCACCACCCCTCCCTCCCAAAAAAAAGGTTCTTAACAGTAAAACTTGGATTCACTATTGTTTCACAAATTGCAGTAAGACCCCTTAGCCATTCAAACGTTCCTGATTCCCACNTTCAAATATCCATTTAACCCCCCCCCCCCCCTCCCAAAAAAAGAGGTTCTTAACAGTAAAACTTGGATTCACTATTGTTTCACAAATTGCAGTAAGACCCCTTAGCCATTCAAACGTTCCTGATTCCCACATATAACGTTGGTAACAATTATTAGTCATACTTTTTACACTAAGGCAAACAATAGAATAAATTTTAAAACACTAAATCTGGAAAAGAATTAAACTAAAAACATTTTTAAAATTAGTAAATGCTCCATAATTGATGAACTAAACTAAACACAAAGAAATTAGAAATAAAAATTGTTATTGCCATTAATCAATGATTCAACAAACTTTTTTGAAACACAAAGCTGTCCTACTATTACAGCCAGAAGCATCAGAGGGATCAAGTGCAACTATTCTTCTAACATTATGTTTGGTTCAAGAAATTTGAGAGGGAAAGGACAAGAAAAAAAGAAGGAAAACATTTTTCTTGTTTGGTTAGAGAGGAAAAGAAAAGAAAAGTGGAAGGAAAAGAAAATGATAAGGCAAAATGTACTAAGAAGAAAAAAAACTAAATTCCTCCCATTTTGATGAGAAAAATGCGGGAAAACTATTTTCTTTTCTTCCAAATTCCCTGAACCAAACACAGTGTAAGAAATACGGAGTAACTAAGGAACTCATTATGATATGTGTAATTTTATGTTCCCATCACACACTTGAATTACACTCTTGGAATGTTTATGATACGTAAATGCCTTGTATAACAAAAGATGTCTATCACTCTATCATTTATAGTTGGCATGTGCAATTACCTGCAAGCAGTTTGGCAGCTTGCCTTGAAGAATAAACCAAAACCGAGCAGAGCTCTTTCACGTCCACTGGTTGGATCATGTCTGCTAATAAAGATCTTCAAGCAGTAGAGGATACAGTTAGTTTACTTGGAAAACATTAATAGATACATTAAGGCAGTTACTTTTACCTATAAGTAAATTTTGAAGGTCCCATTGTGGTTGAACTGCCAATACGAGCATTGGAAATTGAAGGCATTGAAGAGGTTGGTATACAAGATTTAATATGGTTGGTCTGCAAATGCCAAGAGAGTGTTAAACAATTATCAGCTGCTAATTGAGCAAAGACTTGTGAGACTCGGCTAACAGATTTTTTAAGTTCAATAAATGAAAAAATACATCTACCAAATGTAGCAAAAAAGCATTATGACTTTGCTATCAAATACAGCAAGCGTTCAACCAATTAACTAGTCAGTAATATTTCAAACATAGGAGACAAGGCATCTATACCTGCGGAAACTGCCCAAATGTGTGAACTGGGCTTTTCATCGTTGTTGCAAAAGGGTGCTCCTGCCCCTTCCTCTTCTTGCTAACTGGAGGAGATCCGTAGCCAGATGCCCCAACAGCACCAGTTATTGCAGCATTTGCTGCCTGCTGCAGATATGACATGTTATTTGAATGATCTCCATGGAATAGAGCTTGCCTCTCTTCACTTCCTTCAAAATTTTTGCAGTCCATGCATTTGCAATTTTCTGAGCATAGAATGTTAGCTTGGAAACATTCACAGTACTTTTTAAGGCACCCTGATTTTTTGCAGTGGCATCCCTTGTTATGCTTCCCCAAGATTAAACCATCCCCAGCCTCCTCCTAAATCATAAAGAGTAAAACATGATTAAATAAGATAATCTTTGTAATAACAAATGAATCTGTTGCAAGTCAAATATAAAATTTTCCTTGGTCTTCAGATGTGAAAATACCCTATTTTCCCGGATTCCATGGGGACTGCTACCAATTTTAGGCCTAAATGCATGTGGATTGCGTTCCAAAGTAGATTCAACAGCTTCTCGTCTAGCAGCTTCATTTTCCACATTATTGAAACAGTTTACACAGTTGCACCCATCACAATATATGCCTGATGCAAAGCATTCACAATACCTGATCCATGAAATTGGGTGGACATTAGCCTATATATTTTGACTGTTGTACATGTTAATAAACTTTGTTGTATTACTTGTATGAGAGAGAGAAAGTATCCATACATGACACAATTTGCTTATTATGAACCCTACATGTTAAGGAGAGGACAAGAGAACAAAGCCAAGTTTTATTTCTGGTATTTTTCATATTGTTGATTATTGCAAGTTAAGTGTAAAAACGTAATCAAAACAAGGAGATTTAGACTATAAGCCCTTTAATAGAATTCATAGCTGATACACAGAACTCCAATCAAGTGATCTCTGGCCTACATTCGTAAATAAAGTATTATCAATGCATATTAGTCACACTTGAAACTCAAACCAATATGGGCATGTGTATTCCCAACTCATACATGAATATGTGGTGATTTACTTGAAAATCAAACCAGTACGGACATGTGCATTCTCAATTCATGCATGGAAATGTGGTGATTGTTTCTAGGCTTACTATTTTTACTAAATGAAAAGCATTAATATAGAAAGACTGAAAGAATCTTACAATTTCAAGCATCTAGAGTGTTTGCAATTACATTGCTTTTGCTTCTTTGGTGTACCTTCTTTCACTTCAGCAGAGATTTGCCTTGGACGTGCCCTTGGAGATTCTGGTTTCCTGCAAAATAAAAGCAAACAGTATCATCTAATGGATGTTTTAAAAAAGTAAATATTACTCCCAATAAAACCTGTACTCCCAATAAGTTATGTACTTATATTCTACACATTAATGGCTCTATTTATGGGATTCTATAGTGGTGAAGTCAAGGGTATAATTTAGTTGGCTTGTCAAAACCTGGTCCTAGTTGGAGTTTGCTCATAAGGATACAATAAAGGTAATATGTTAGTGGGAAATTCAACAATGTTCGAGCAATCATCAGATTTGCAAGATGATGCACGAAGAATAAGTCAAAGGACCTTCATCTACCAATAGTGATGAAGCCTTATGGAATCAGAAGAAAAGTCAGAACTTAATGGCATTGATAATTTCTAATGAACTAGCCCACTAATTAATAGAGGTCAAGCATGCAAGAAGTAGGAGTCTCATTAAAAACATTTAAGGACCAATTCCCTTGATAAGCTTCAAGCATGTCCTAACAGCATGTGATACAGGTATAGCAGTCTTTTTAGATGAAATCCTCAGAGACAATGCCAATTAAGCTTTCATGACATCTCAGTGAAAGTTTTCATTATTGAAAAAAATTATAATCAATAGCTAAAAGAACATTTAAAAAGTTAATTTGATAATGACAATCAAATAAATTACAAAACTTTGAGACAAACTGGTAAAGCAAATGCTTATAAAAGACATTAAAGTTTTGAAAAGAATCACATAGCACAACTGACCACCAAAATCTTTCATTTAAAAAAAACAAATTCTACCATAGATAAATTTACAACCGCTTACATAGGTCGCATTGAAGGAATATGGGGCGGCACAGGGGGTTGCTGCATAGACATCAACAGTATATGTTGCTGTATCTGTAATTGCGGTCGGGATGGGTGGCTTGGCTTCACAATGAGCTGTGGCTGCAAGTGTGGCCGTGGGGAGTGGCTAAGCTTCGCCACAGGCTGTTGATTACGTGGTACTACGAGGACTTAATAGGGGTGTCGTCTTGACGGTAGCGGAGGGGGTACCGACCCTGAGCACTTTAGGTCGACGGAACGGTCGAAGAAACAGCCTTCGAGGTGCCTACGACCAACGCCCCCGCGTCACCACTGATATCTTTGGTGGAGGCCAACACTGGAAAAACCTCCCTTTAGGGGAGGTAGTGAAAAGAGGTTTCAAACCAAGAACGATTTACAAACCGAGATCGATTCGCAAACAGAGAACGATTAACCACACCAGACGAACTAATAAACAGATTAAATTAAATCAGAACTCGCACGGCCCCCTTCCAAAAGAGCATCAAACTCCCCAGAAGTTCACAAAATTTACAATTCCGCAGCAGTGTTGGACAAATTGCAGGAATTCAAAATCGATAACGAAACACTGCGATCACGCAGCTCAGATTCAACGGAGAAAATCCTCCGAATGCCGTCTCCAAAGTCTCAAAGGATCGAGCTCAATCAGCTGGAAATCGATCCGCTGAATGTGCGTTTGTGTCGATATGCGGAGCGCGTGGGCGGAAAACGCAGGAATTCTCAGGGAAGAAGGGAGGAGAAGAGGAGCGAGTAGAGCCTTGTCTCGCTCTTCTTCCTCCCTCTCTAGCTTTTGAATTTCAATTTCTTTTTTGACGGTCAGATTGCGCCACAATCTCATCCTATGGACTATATTTGGATGGTTAATCGACGGCAGAAATTCATAGAACCTTCAGACGCTGCTATCGTACGGTTGGCTCAATTTGAACTTCTCCCTAATCCGTAATAGAGTAATACTTTGAAAATTTAAATTTGGATAGTTCAAATTTGTGACCATCTACAAAGTTTGAATTCAAATTTGAAACAAATTCTTCTATATTTTTTTCTAACATGAATTTAGATTTCAATTCTAAAGTTGATCCAAATTATAGATTTTATGATTGAAAATTCATGGAATTTAGATAATTAAAGATTTGACCTAAATTTCATTCATTCATATTAGAGTATCGTACTCAATTTCATTCTAAGAACATCTTTAAAAAATGTAATAGTCTATATTCAACTTTATACTATCAATATTGTTTTATACATTTATTTTCTTATACTCACCCCAACCATACTTTTTATATTCAACTTGGGTATCTTTTCTACACTATCTTCCATAAATAGAAGATGTCAATTAGATTTTGCAATATAGTACTCCTTCCGTCCCATTTTAAATGGCCTGTTTGCCTTTTTTTCCGTCCCAAAATAAGTTGCCTGTTAGTTGATTTCGTAAACTTTTAAAAATAAAATACCTAAATTACCCCTAAAATAAGTCATACTTCTTCATCTTATCTTCTTATTCATCATCACCCTCCTAAAAAGTATTGTCAATTTCAAAAAATCAACTCTATTTTTTATTTTCCTTAAATATGCCCAAAAATCAAAACAGGCGATCTAAATTAGAACGGAGGGAGTAGTAGTTCTTTTTACACTATTTAGCTTGCTTTTACACCATCTCTTAGAAAGTCAAAATAATGGCATAAAGTGTATATTTAAGAATATACACTCTCCTTTGGAGGTGCTCTCACAAATCAATTATATCCACTTGTCATTTGCAAATTCAATCCTTTGTATAAAAATGGATTATCTCCGATTATTCCACTAAGATTATTTTTAAATGCCCCATCTAGGGGCGAAAAAGGAGAACACACACCCTCTACGTTGCGACCAAGTTCTGGCAAACATGGTCGCCGGCTGGCGGCCACCTGAACATTCACTTCTTCCTAATCTCGAGCACAGTCAACCTAAATTCCACCATGAGTGATGCCGGGAACCTTGAGATCGACGACACCCCTCTTATGGCGGCTTCAATATTTTTTACGCCCGCCACATGTCTCACCAACCTCTCTATAACCTATGACGTCTGTATTATTACAATCATAATTGTCTCTACTATGTATGAGACAAGATAGTTGCGCCTCACATGTTATATATATGGATATTATAACATCTTAATCAATGCATAGATACATATCTGAGATATGTTACTAAATAGACCAACATGAGTGAAGGGTGTGTTCCACCCAGTACCGGTCCGAGGGAGGCCTTCAAATTTGACCGGTCAAGATTTACTTGCTGGGATGGGAAGCCTAAACGACAGTAGGGGTGTATCGGTTGATGATAGAAACTTCACCAGTACATTCCCAATAGTCTAGCGGTCAAGATACTTGTCTTCCCTCGTTCTACTCTCAATCTCCAGAAGTCCTTCTCGTGTAAACATAATCGTTATGATTTCTACAGTTGGGAAGTGTCGACATGAAAAAATCCAAAGGAGGTTTGACTGTACCGGCCAAATTCAATGAAGGATCACGGGAGATATTCAAGCAATGCGTCCAACATGCTACGCGACAAGGGAGTCACCTTCTAAACTCTAAGTTATGAAACAAGCCAACCTAACAATAGATTATCCAAATGTGATAATTGACTATCAGGGGTTGCAGAACCTTGGCTCAGGAACTGCCTGGCCTGATAATCGATTATCAACATTGAATAATCGATTATCCAACAGTCTTGAACCCCAGGACCACCATGCCAAGGAACATAGAATTTTCGGAAGAAAACTAATACGAAATCAAACATACTTATATGGATTGAAACTTAGACTTCTCTCAATATCCTAGATGCATGTTGTAGGATCATGGCATATCATTGCATAACCGCGTCAAGAGGTCAGGCATAATGCGCCTCTTCCGTGGGCCCATCCAAGAGCCTTCGGGATTCAATGGGTTTCATCTGAAGGGCTTGTGTACGTACATGGTAACTAGGCTTTCACTTACCGCACACAATTTCTACAGGATGACTCACATGTTTAGCGCCACCTCTGATAACCGGCCGCTTCCCTATGCCCGTCTCGCCATGGCAATTCATGATGAGTGCCACGTCAAGACCGGCGCAGGGCCAAAGTGCAAAGGGACGAAGCATTAGGAGATTGATGAGTTCTCTTTTCACCCAGGAACCGATGAATCTCCGTTCCCGCAGCCTCGTCCACGCCACCAACCAAGGGCAACTGCTTCAAACAACTCTTCTATAGCCGAGCAAATGGCCTTGACCGCCACTGACAGTATAGAACGGGCAAAAATAACTAAAAAGAACCCTTGTAAGTAGGGTGTCAAACCTCAGGAAGACGTGAGTTAATTTAATTTAAACAAAAGTTTATAGAATAAGTTGTAAAATATTTTTGGTCTTTTTGATTTTAGAGATAAAATAAAAAGAGAAAAAGGAGAGAGTTCCAAACAACACAAAGTTTTTAATGATGAAAAGTTAGGGGTAGAAATTGGTAAATTAATTGTCCAATGTTTTTATAAAAGTTGGATTGTTGATTTATTTTTATATAGAATGTGTGAGGTTGCAGAAAAGTATATAGGGACGCTCTCGCAGTTCACCTAAATAATAACCACTCTGACTTTAACACGTTAATGATAAATCCAGAGTAATTATTTAGTAACAACGGCAACCATAATTATTTTATTTTATGTTTACCCAATTTAATGGTGTAAAAATACAACTCAATAATTATATCCACCTAAAAGTCTTCAATCTCGGTTAAAGGTAGAGAAGGCTTACGGTGTAGTTAAAAAGTGTTCTATTTTATAATTATTTCAATTTTAGCTCAAATTCCTTTTAACAATTATGTTTATGATTGGGCCCTTAATTAAAAATCACAAACATTTCAAGTTTATTTATTTTTAAATACAACATCTAAGTAAAAATAAAATCAACAATCCATTTTAAAAATATTTAACACATTAAGATGGACAATTAATTAACTAACTTCTAACCCCAATGGAATTTAGAAGTTCATAGTTTGAAGCTCAAACAAATAAATATTTATTACAATAATAAAAATCTTACAAAAATGGAACATGTGTTCTTGAGCTCCAAATGTAATAAATGATGTTGATGATGATGAAGATGTAGTGATTTTTATGTGTTTGGAGGAGGAAAGTGGTGAGATATTAGTGGGGGAGGAAGAGAATTTCGAAATAGAGAGAGGAGAAAAATGGGGGTTCCAACCTCTTTAGAAGAAGAGAAGGGGTTTTTTTATAGATAAATTCAATACAAATAGTCCCAAAAAATGTCAACAAAGCTACAGTAGCCCACATGGAATTGAGGCTGTTTGTCTCATCACTTGATCTCGTGTTTGATTCCCCACCAAGTGTCAGTGTTTTATCATTTTTCTCTCAATTCATGGCCGAATTTAAATTAAGAACATATTCTGTGTCCTCCAGTGACATGACCAATAATCAGCTGTGGCACGATGGTCCAAGCTGCTCATCCACACTCCAAAGTCCAGTTTGAATCCCAACTCCAATCTTTATCTCATTTTAGGCAATAAAATGGCACCCAAATCCTTACGGTACCCCTTACACAATTCTTCAACTTTTCAATACTCTTTTATTGCATAAGCATTCTTTTTTTTTCTTAGTTATTTGAGAGCCAATTCTTAAAAAAAATTGTCGTGTTCTTGAGCGTTTACTAGTCCACTCATATCTACTCTTTGTGAGAGTTTTATTCCTGAGTGTTTGAGTGTTTCTATAGACTTTAAGGGAGATTGTTCCCTTGTTGTAAACTTGAAGGAAGTCTTTTGTTCCTTCGTGAGAAGTCTTGGAGTGTGGTATCCTAGAACAAAGGTGTTGGGGCTCGTGTGACTCGGGTTCTCAAGGTGTATCGGTTTGTTAAGCACCTTTAAGCTTAACGGAGTTAGTGTAGCCCGAGAGAGTCTCTCTAGAGGTTGGATTAGCCACAAGTTGTGGTGAACTAGGATAAAATTCGGTGTGCTCCTTCCTTACACTCTTTACTTTATCGCTACTGTTTTTAATTTCATGCAATTTTGTTTTCAACGCTATTCCCCCCCCCTCTAGCGCTGGGCCTATATTCTAACAAATTATTCTCCCTCAAAAATATAATATAAACTTATGAATTTGAGAGTATATAACTAGAAACACAAGCTCAAAGTGCGTGTGTATAAAATCACAAATTTAAGGCTCTTGAAATGGCCAAAATATTGAAAATAAAGAATAAAAGAATGAACACACTTATCAAATAAAGAGAGGATGTTTGGAGCTTTGTTTCTTGTTGAAATATGAAGTATTATGCCTATATTTATAGTGGAAGATGTTAATTAGCCGTTGGGAGATGATTAGGGTTGATTTAATTCAAAAATAAGCAATCAGGAATAGTGTTCCAACGGTAACGGTACCCTGTCACGGTAGCTAGGTACCGTACGGTAGCTAGGTACCTTCTCATGCCAAAACTCTCCGGCGGTACATGTCCTCTTACGATACCCCTTTTGGTAGGAGGGCCAGTTTTAACAGTAGGGGACCCTGGGTTGACGGTAGGGGGTACCTTCTCAGATAGATTGACTCACGGTACCCCTTACGGTACCCCTCACGTATCTACTCACGGTACCTAGGTACCTAGTGACCATTTTGATCATTTTTTCATTTTTGTCCAAATCGTTTCCAATTTTGTTTAAAACCTTTTGAATGTTTGAAAATGATTATAAAAGGGTTTTAAACATATTTTGTGAGTATTTTTGAGCTTGTGAGTATATGTATATAAAATCATATCCTTACGTTGGTTCTATTTATAGTCTACGCTAGTTTAGTGTTTCAACTTAATTTTTGAGAATCGAATCTTAATGGATTCTTGTTGTACTTGAAACACTTAAAGAAACGTTAAACTCTTATATTATTTGTTAACATTAAAACACGAGTCTTAGCAAACCAAGGCTAACAGGTAAAATCTCTCGCCTTTTGAAATCATTTTATTTACAAATTGGCACATTGATAAGAAATAAAATTATATATTAAAAAATTACGTCAAAAACTCTACACAACAAGAAGTGACAATCATGTTTTATTTTATCAAATACTTAATGAAAACAGACAAATACACAAAAGTTATCGACATGAGAGAGAAAAGATTATAATCAAAATTCAGGTGAAGGGAGTATGTGTTTTTATATCAAAAGACACTTAC